TAATCAATGAAACCGATCCCTCATTCGTGCGATACGTTTGGCACAAATTGGTTGAGTTTAACGAGACGTCAGTACCCGCCTTATCACGGGTGCCATTGGATAAGCGAGCACATCCTCGGTTTCATAATAACACCTGGACCAATTGGTTGGACGATGACTTGGACTATCAATTATATAGGGATTACAAACACGACAAAGATGAATTTTAATTGTTTTAATTTTATTATTAATTAAGATGCTTATTGTAGAAATACTTAGCAGTATGATCTAGGTTTTAGTAAATAGTAGATGGATTCATAAGTATTTTCACGTCTCTATGAAGTTAATGAGCATTCAATAAATAATAACAAACTTCTTTTGAATTTGATGAATTAATTTGTATTTATAGACCCTGATAACCTACCTGATTACTTACCTGATAAATAGGTTATAAACTAGAAATATATGTTATTATTCCGAAAAAAATAAATTCAAATAAATTATCAGTATAATTTTATACATTAATAATTTTTATTGTTTTCAACATTTATATATTAAATTTTAATTAAAACAATGTTCAAGCACATACGAGTATTGGAGTTGTAATTAATTATTAGATTAACTTCTAATTACAAACATAAATTTGTAATTATATACTTTTAAAATTACATATGAGCTTTGAACAAGCATAGTAACGTTAGCAATTTTTATATTTTTAATACTTTAAAATCCAGTAATATTTTAACCTGATGAGTTGTAACTCGTTTACCTTAAACCTATGAACATTTTATAAATAATTGACTTTTGAATAAAATTACTAATTAGATATAATAAATATAAAAATTACTAACGTTACTATGATTGTTCAAAGCTCATATTTAATTTAATATTGACTCTATGAACATATTTTCAATGTTTAATCTGCAAATGAAACTAATAAGGTTTTAATTTTTAAATTATTATAAAAAGTATTTTTATATATTTTTACCATTTTGTCTAAACTTTGACACAAACTCCTTAATTCAATTAACTTATTTAAATTCATCTTCATTTTATTACATATTTTAAACACATTTAAACAATAAATTTTAATTTGGTTCATAATTGACTATCTTTAGAAATATGGTACTCTCAACCAATACTTCAAATATGGTTATAAATCTCACTCCACGTGTTTTGCACATTGTTTTGAAAACCTGTTTCTCAAAAACGATTATTACATTTATATTTTGTATTTATAAATTAAGACTATGTTTTATAACTAGCATTAAATAGAAATCTGGGTAAACTGTACCTAATATGTATTAATATAAGTATCATTAAATATTTGAGAACATGAAATTATAATAATTTAGATATTGTTAAAATTGCAATAAAATCATAAATTGAGATATTAAAAAATATTTAATAATTACATAATACTATAACAAAACAAGTAAACAAAATAGGCCAGTAATTTAAATATTTATATTATCTCATTAATAGCTTGCTTATCTATTACTCTATAATTATTAGTCATACCATTTCATCTCCCGTTCCCACAGTGACTAACCCCGTTCCCATCCACTCATCCTTAACTCTCTGATCAATCAAATCGCTCTCATCTCTCGACATAACAGCCCTCCAGTCGCCGACAACACCCTTCCGGATATGAAATTCGTCTAAATTAGGACGACTTCTCATGGACTTAATGCTCGACCCCTTTATAATGGAATCCAACAAATCGGTTGTGTTTATAGCGCCACTACTACTACAGGTGTCGTCACCACCACCACCAACCGCGCCATCGCACCGATCGTACAGTCGGTCCACATATTTCTGGCCCAAGAATGCGGCGATTCTCACAATATTATCCCTCGGATTCGCTACCATCTCCTCGTAGGTAATTAGGGTACAGTTGCCGCGTGACCGGCGTTCCCACAGCAGAGATACATCGCGGAAGTAGTCGTGGTTAGGCAGTCGGGGGCCGGCGTCCATCCATACGCCGAAAAAGTCGTTAAAAGTGAACTCCATTTTCCACGTCTTTCGCAGGCAATAGTACATCGAAACGCACGTGTCTTTCTGGTTCCGCACGACCAGCAAATACTTGGCGTCCGGACCGTACCGTAACAGGCGATGGGTGTGTATAAGGTTGATGTCCGCACTGGTGGGCAGCGTCCGGTCCTCCGGTCGGTAAAGGGCGCGACGCTTGAGCTGATACTTGAGATACATGTGGACGTCCAGCACGACCAGCGGCTCGGCCCGTAAAATGCTCAAGATCATATTGAGCGTCCACCACGTGCCACTTCTGGGTATGGTCACCAAAACCCGGTCGCCCGGCACGGGCTCGTAGTTCAACGAGTTTACCGCCAGCGCCGGGTCCTCCGTTTTGGACACCGTTACGCCGTTGACCATCTGAAATAAATCATGCACCTTGTCAATAATGGCGGCCCTGCTCATATTTGTAATTGCGAGTATATTTTTATTTGTGGCTCACAATGAGACAATTTATTTAAAATTTATTAAATTGGTCAATAATATAATTGATTATACTAAAGTAATGTTTATTCTAAAAATGAGATATTATCAAAAGTATATTAGAAATCGGGAATATTCAACTTAACAAGTTAGATTATATTTGAAAAGTCAGTTGCTTTATGATTGGCTTTACTTGACATGAATACAAAAATTAGCAGAACTGTAGATTGAATAGAGGATCTCCAAAAGCATGACAATTAGGGTGACCAGAACGTCCTCCGTGGGGAGGATTGTGCTCCTTTGACATAAATGGCATAAGAATGTATCTTTTCTGCAAATTCTGGATGTTTTATAGTAAGTATGTGTATATAAATACGATTGTTTTATTGAATTCAATACTATTTTTGACAACATACTATTTAAAGATTGTTTTATCAAATAAAGCTCATACTCGCCTCAATAAATATAGTAGTTTTATAAAGTTAATTATTTAAAATTTAATTATTTTGCAAGAATATCTCGAATTTATATGATGAACATTTAAAGTTATTTAAGTGTATACAGACAAATAATTAATTTCGATTTGAAAATAGCCTGTCCTCCTCACGTCCTCCCCATCACATTGCAATTCTGGCAAATGTCCTCCTTGGTGCTCAAAAATTTCTGGTCACCCTATACTCTACTCATATTTTTAAGTTACTGATTAATTTAGATTATTAAAAATTATTTTTACTTCGAAATATTCTGCCAAGAATAATTAAACAAATAATTAAATAATACAGTATAATGATAAATTACAATAATTAATACTTCTTGAAAATATATAATTAATGCACCTTAATACATAATATAATAACATAACCTGATAATTAAGCGCACTTTTAAATAATTAAACCAATAATTAATATTTGCGTTCAATGCCTATCCAAATGGACTTTGGAGTTGTATTTTTGCAAAATTTTTTCACCATTAATGGCGACTCCGTATTGCCGGTACGACTTAGGCGATACTTTCTAATAATCATGACCATGGCCACTTTTATCATTAGAAATGCAAAGCGCATTCCAACGCAAAGTCGTGGGCCACCGCCAAAGGGTAGGTATGTATAAGGAATTAGGTTGAACTTGTTTTCTTGCAAAAATCTATCAGGCTCAAATTGATCGGGATTGGGGTAGTACTTAGGCGACCGGTGTATGGCATAAATGGGTACTTCTACTGTCATGCCCTTCGGTATCGTGATCCCGGTGTCGCCTAATTTGTAGTCTCGAGCGGCTACTCGAACCAGTTGGGGGACAGGCGTGTGAAGCCTAAGGGTCTCGGATAAGACGGCATCCAAATAGGGAAGTCGTGTCAACACGTCGTACGGTATCTCTCCGTCCGAATCGATGGCACCGTTTATCTCGTCGTAGAGTTTCTGTTGGACCGACGGATTGAGAGCCAACTCATAGGCCATGAATGCGAGCGTTGACGCAGTTGTGCCAAACCCGGCGCCGACTAACATAACTCCCTGCGCGACGATCTCCTCGTCCGATAGCCACGGATTACCTGCTTTTGCTTCTGTCGACGACTGTCTACTAAGTGACGGCTCCTCGTCGCCTATTAATTGGTATATTATTAGCAAATATGTATTGATTATCATTTATAAACATGTGTACAGTTTATAAGTTATCGCACATTAACATGGTGAATTTGAATTTAATTTCTATTTTTAAATATATCCTTTGGGAAATAAAATTGGTGGAAGTAAGTTTAACGTAATTCATAAATTGGATACAAGTTTAATTATGAAATCTATTTGAAATATATGTTATTATTAATAATGGTCAAAACAAAAATGCTTATTTTCTTATTATCATTTGTGCCACCAATAAGATCTACATTCGAAGTGATAGATACAAAATGGACAAGCAAAACTGATGCGGGTAACATAAAAATATAATGGTTATATCAAAAAATATTTGATTTATTTTTCAAGTCAGACCCAAAGTCCAATTATCAGAAATAATGAATAATAAATGGTACAGTACTGTACAACCCGCAGAATATAAACTTAATTAGGAAATCTCGTTTTATATAAATTTTACTTAGGTAATACTACAAACCTGAGATAAAATAATGCGTTTGGCTATCATTGTCGGTCAATGTCACGTCCCACTCCTTTCGGGCATTAATGAGTAAACCCATAAAATCAGTGTATTTTTGACCCGAATTTAGTCTCAACGTCAATATGTGTTGCAATAAATTCTTAAAATAATCGATTTCTTTAGCAGTGGTCAATGACTTTATATTAAGGAAATGGCGTAAAAATGTGGGAATTAATTGAGCGCAAAGGAACCGGAACATAGACGCGGAAAATATAGTACGGGCGTTCACGAGGTACGGATCGTCGAGGTCGGTGAGCGCGCTACTTTTGGTACCAAACCCACATGCTACAATCACTTCCGTCACGTAACGTTCAGAAGTGTCTACGGCGTCAAACTGGCCCTCATTTTTCGCCATAACGTCCAACGCGTTTACCATACGATTCGATAATTTGTCGATCAATGCATGCATTTTCGACAATTTTCGGCTCCTGAACACCGGACTCACGACCGCCCGGACACGTCTCCAGCGGTCGCCCTGAGCGCCCGCTACGCTCAATGCCTCGACTCTACTCCGATCGCTTGGTTTCCATAGTCGGTCGTGAAATACGTGAAAATCGGTAACAATTATGTGTTTTATTAGCTCAGGTTCGGCCACAATTAGTACTGGCTTTAAACCTTCGTATACACTAGTGATCAGACAATTATGTTGATGCGATTACAATGATTATCATTTTAAATCTCGATTCATTTATAAATATATTAGTTTTATTTATTTATAAATAATGTCCTAACGTTTCTACTTTAAAAAACTCGATTTAAATCAATGATTAGAAATATTATGGATTATAAACTTTTACCAAATGTATAACAAAATAATCAGGGCGAATGCAAATTTTGTATCCGTATTAGAAAACATCTGTAAGTCAACTAATCTGCCTAAGCATTGTTACGCGATGATCGATCATTATAACTTTTCCCTCATAATTCTAACAAATATGACAGCTTATATCTTTAGTCAGGATAACTTGAATAACTTTTGAACGGATAATCCGATCTTTAATCGGGTTTCACAAAAATGTAGCTGGATAATGTCGAAATCTAGTGGTATGCCATTTGTTTTATAAATCCACCAGGAAAACTAAGTAATTTAATTTCAAATTATTCCACATTTTGCCATTGAAAATACATGGAATTTTTCTTGAATATTTCATAATTTACTCATATCTCGGTTAATAGCGTTGAGTTTCACTTATTTCAAATTATGTCAACTAGTGATGTATATACTTAATTCATTTTTAACGTTAAACACAAATTATTTATACAACTATTCAACACTATTTATTTATACCTTTATAAGTTTTAGTCAAAAACATTACAAATATAACAGGTGCAAATATTAAAAGTTTGTTAATCATAAAACGAGCATATTATCAAGTTTAACTTATTTTATAAAAATGAATGTAATTTTAAAGGTGTGCTTTTACGATTAATAAACATTGAATCTAAACATTGTTTGAACATTAATGTATTAGTAAATTTAAATATCTATTAAGTTTATTATGACATAAATAACTAAGGCTTTTAAAAATTTATAAGTTTATCAAGTATAGGTGATTAGGCTATTAGTTTATCAACCCTATTTTTAGGTGATTTTAACTTTTGGAACTCAATGGTTAATAGTAAAACCTCAGTATCTTGGTCTTTTCTATTGCTATTTTCGATCTTCCAACACCATTTTGTTTCAAATTAATTAATTATTGGAAAGAGCACAAAAAACTATTTAAGATCAGTTATTAACATTAATGGTAATTTAGCAATTTACAAAATTAATTTACATTAAGCCATGTCTTGGAATTTTATTTTTATTATTACCTTAATATAATTGGTATATTGTGAAATATAAGTATAGGTTAATAAGTGATCTTGAATAGTTTTGTGCTCTTTCCAATGCACTAGATTTATTCTAGGACACACGGTTAAAAAGTTAGCAACACATTTTTGTTAAAATCTTAAAACACAAAGTGTCATAAGAATTGCATTTTAATTTGAAACAAAATGGTGTTGGAATATCTAAAATAGCAATAAAAATGACCAAGATACTGAGGTTTTACTATTAACCGAAATTTGAGCAAATTATGAAATAATCAAGAAAAATCCCATGTATTTTCAATGGCAAAATGTGGTATAACTTTGAAATTAAATTACATCGTTATCCTGGTGGATTTGTACAACAAATGGCATACCATTAGATTTCGACATTATCCAGCTACATTTTTGTGAAAACCGATTAAGGATTCGCTTATCCGCTCAAAAGCTATTCAAGTTAACCCGACTAAAGATAGAATCTGTCATATACTGTATATATCACTGTAAGGATAACTTATGAATATTTTGGATATAAAAATTTCATTATGCCTGATCATTTTTGTATACTATTTGGCAATATTATACTGTATTAGACAATGCATAATATTGTCAGTGTTTGCTCTGGTATTAGCAATGTTGGCACCGGTACCGCAATGATGAGCGCCTTATTTGGACAGGGATGCTATTTTGCGAGATTGTCTGCTCGCATCCCTGTGCCAACAAAAAAGGCGCTCATCATTTCGATACCAGTGCCAACATTGCTAATACCAGTGCCAACACTGCTAATACCAGTGCCAACACTGACAATATTTTAAATTATTAATTCAATCATATTATCGAAAGTAATCGCATGTTATATAAATTGATAAAATATTGAATATTGAATAGATTATTTTAGCTTTAGGACTTTGTAATATATGTATTCATTATAAGCAAATAAAACAATCAATGAGTAAAAGTGGAGACATTCATTGCTTTCTCAGAGAACTTGTTTACAATTACTTTACGTGTAAAGTATAAGTTTTTATATGTAGCATACCTTGTACATAAATTAATGATGACTTGTCATTTTAAAATAAGTTGATTCTATTGGTCAAAGTAAGTATTATTTGTATAATCATAGTACAAGTTATACCACATATAAAAACTTATACTTTACACGTAAAGTAATTTTAAACAAGTTCTCTGAGAAAGCAATGAATGTCTCCACTTTTACTCATCGATTGTTTAAATTGCTTTTAATGAATACACATCTCATAACTTTTAACGATTGGCGCTCATTGGGAAAATGATCGATATTCCATATTATAACCTTGAGCACTAACCATGTTTTTCAACTCTTTTTAATAGACTTCTAATAGTGAGACAATGGCTGCAGACATATTAAAAAGAGTTGAAATACTAGTTTAGACTTAATTGGTCAAATACACTTTATAATTTATACAGTTAGTTTTCTAATATGTTAATTTAATCTAATTTGTGTATAATAATCAGTTAATTACCCATAAATATTTCCATATGTCATAAGCCGTTTAATTTCCAAATCCGACCTAGTGTCAATGAGAAGCTCCCATTGAGTGCCAAAACATAAAACAGGTCTAGGTCCTTTAATACCGAGCGTACGAAAAAAACTAAAATTGCGCGCATTATACCTATAAATAAAATAAAAACTTAAAATTACACAATTTGGATAAGTTTTTAGTTTTTAATAACCGGTTTAATTTAACTAAAATTAACACAATAACAGCGATAACCACACAGAATCCAATTGTAAACATATTTGAAAATCGTAAATGTTATCAATATTTTTGAAATCTTAAAGGAACAAAATAGTAATATGGAACTTTTATTTTATAATAAAAATCTTATTATTTTAAAATTATAATATAATATGAACAAGTCTATACTATAGACTCTATAATGTCAAATCATTGTTCATGTACTGTATTGAAAAAATAATGCTGACTTTGACGCGGGAATCCGGATGCAACCGGTTATGATGACACAAAACTCTATACTCTATACCTTAGACGCACAGATATGGTTTAGATATGGCAAATGTCCTCCTTGGTGCTCAAAAATTTCTGGTCACCCTAATGACAATATGCACTTTTATTGAAGCCTGGAATTTTCAAAATGCTAGATCATTACCAATTGCAATTTTATATTAATTGTTAAGTAAGTCGATAGGCTTTTTATATTAAAATTAAGAATGTTTCTAAGTCGATTACTGTACTGTACCTGGCTATTCTATATATGTAATATTCATTACTCATAGCCAGACTGACCAACCGTTCTCTATTTCAGTGAACAGTGTGACCAGATCCCAAGTATTTGACTTGACATTCAAGTATTTGGGGTGTTTGTCAAGTGACAAGGTAAGGGGTAATACTTGACATTATAATGTCAAGTATTTTATTTTACATAAATTATTAATAAAATTATGTAAAATCGCGATCAAATAGCAAAATAATATGATTGATATTTTACTATTCTTATATTACTTATTAATTATTATGATAAGTAACCTAAAAACATGATATTATGAATTTATGGTTAAAGTTCTATTGATTTAATAATAATAGAGTATAAGGAAATAACCTCTATTGTCCAGATTAATATTTGAAATTTATTTGACAAGTATTGGTGTTTAAAATAAACACAAATTAATAATAAATTTTTAATTGAAAAATTTGCAATTAATTATAGAAAACTAAAACAATTTTAAAAGAAATATTTTCCCAATTAATTAAATATTTAGGTTTAAATTCTTAAGTTAATTTCTTACTTACAACATACTTAATAACTTAGTTGAGCTTAATTTTAAGTTATTGTCATATTAAATATTATTAGAACCAGGCTATTGCTTTGAGAGTTGGAAACGACCGTTGGAATTTAAACTTAAAAATCTCACACACAAAAAATTGTTGAGCATAAAAACTGGTACGACTATAAAAGTCAAAAATTATGAGTAGTGGTCAGTAGTGGTCAACAATGGTCAGTAGTGAACTGAATTAACTTAATTGTGCTCTGAATTAACTTACTTCTGTATAATTAAATTAATTCAGAGCACAATTAAGTTAATTCAGTGCATAATTAAGTTAATTCAGTTCACTACTGACCGCTACTCATAATTTTTAGCTTTTATAGTCATACCAGTTTTTATGCTCAACAATTTTTTGTGTATGAGATTTTTAAGTTTAAATTCCAACGGTCGTTTCCAACTCTCAAAGCAATAGCCTGATTAGAACTATTATAAAAGCATAGTTTAATTGTATTTTACAAAAAGAAACTTGTCAAGTATTTGTCAAGTATTTGTCAAGTATTTTTTGAAGTGTTTATTCAAAAATACAAGTATTTTGGATTTTCGATCTGGTCACACTGTCAGTGAACTGTTCCCTATTTAATGTATTTGCCAATTGTATTTTAAAATACCTATGTTTCAAAATATTCATAAATTGAATGATCACTATTTTTGAAATATATAGGAATACTGTATTCCTATACATATACATATAAGGTCGTACACATGAAAATTATTCTGGCAAAACTTTAATAAGTTTTTTGTTATAACACTTAGCCAAAATCGGTAAAAAGTATTTTAAACATCATTTCAATAAAAAGCGTATGCTAGAATCACTTTGTACCCCCTCCCCCGCTGCATCATTAATGACGCTGATGACTGTCAAATTGCATTTCCCATACACTTAACATGGGATTTTTTGACAGTTTAGCCCTTAAGGACTTGAGCACTGCCTATGGAAAATCACAGCAAAAGTGGGCAAAAGGATTTTCAATGACGTAATGACGCTGTGCTTTCAGGTCCATGTTAAACCTATGGGAAAATGGTATATAATGATGGTGCATGACATGCGTGCCAAAAAATGTCGGTTGCGGAACCAAAAATCCCATAGCGTTAAGCGGCAAATGGAGATTGAGGGACATGTGGTCGAAAAAGTACGACCAAAGTACACAAATATCCCATGTTAAGTCTATATGATTTTAAAAAGTGCATCTAATGTGCACATAAATGACATTAATTTACCAAATTATTTTCCCATGTTAAGCCTATGGGAAAATTGTTTACAATGCACCAAAAATTCCCTTCTAATCCTATGTGAAAATTAACTTAATTAACCCAAATGTCCTATGTTAATCCAATGGGGAAATTGATTCAAATATACTTAAAACCCCATGATAAGTCTATGGGGAAATTAAATAAATGAGCTTAAAACTTTTAACAAGTTTAACCTGACCTAAAAACAATGACCTAAAATTTTAAGAAAGTTAGTTAAGGAAATTTTATTTAAGGAATTAATAAATAAAACCGACTATTAACGCATTTATATACAATTTTATGAGACAATTGAAGAAATGTTAATTATTTATTAAATTTATTTAATAAATTAACTAATTTTGGGAAATTAAATCCAAATATATTGAACGATAAAAATAATTTTTATTATATCAATTGACATTAACTGGAAAAGCGTATGTCTCGATTAACTTCAGTTATCCGCCTTGTTTTTGTTTGTATTTTTAAATTGTTATAATTAAGAAGTTTTCTTTATGAATTTTCTTTGGATTAAATTTCTTTATACTTAATAATTTATGGAAATAATAAATTTAATAAATTATCAATATTATTAAGTGAGCCCATATTTAATATTTAGCGAATACTTTAAAAGTGCCCTTCCATTTATTCCTACTAAATATTAAATTGTATGTAATATGTAATATAATTTAATTTTCATGACATTCAAATAAATCATTTGAGTATTAATAGTGTACATGCAATCGAGTAATTATGTTCCCAAATAAATAATTATTATTTAAACATCTGATATGTTATTTTGCAACGAATTAATTGCCTCACAAATAAATCGGTTAGATAGGTAAATATACTAGCAATTTGTTGATTATATGTTTATTTTTAAAACAAAAAGTACCATTTAAAATTATTATTTATAATTGTAACATCTTTAATATTTGAATTATTTATCAAAGTTATTTAAGCAAATGTTTGTAGAGATAATATATGTGAGTGTTTTGATTATAACATTAGCCGTATGTGAAAATAAATGCCCGGAACCTAAACTACTGGAGCCATGTTTTTGTAAAAATTATATAACAAATAAATTAACATTGAGATGTAATAAAAGTTCCATAACTGACCTTGCACCAATATTTGCCAACATGATTAAAAAGTTATCTAAAACTCAAAAGTCATTTGACAGCCTATATGTGATGCACACAAATATCCCGCGAATTAATGCCAACACTTTTGGAGACATTACTTTCAAAAGTATTACAATTTTTTCCGACCACTCATTAAAAGTGATTGATGTGAACGCCTTTAAAGATATGAATAGTTTGGTTAGTTTAACCATTTCTAACATATCAAACCTGGATTATAATTCAAAAACTGGTACTGATCTGTTTGGCGTAATTAGAAATATCCCAAACATTAGCTATATTTGGCTAAATAATATAAGGTTAACAAACATCCGGAACAATTCATTCAATGGATTAAATAACTTAAAAAGTATTTACATTTCGGACATAAGTTTGAGATTAATTGATGAAAAAACTTTTTATGGATTAAAAT